TAATACTTGCCAAACTATTATGATAAATTCGATAATATGTAGATCATAAGTAGCTACCCAACAAGTTAGCGTTGTTTCAGATTATAATAACCTTCTTGTAAAAGAAAGTCGAGGTTAGTCCTACTTGTCAATTTTTTGTCACTAAAGTGTGGGAAATCAATTGCTTCAATGAACGAAAATACATCTCACCTACTCATAACATTTACACACACTGATCCAAATATATTAATATAGTATCATATTTGCTAAAATATTAAATCATGTATATGTTATTTTATATTAAAGATCGGCCAACTACAACAACAGTACAGCAGAATGCGATATGTCTGACATGGACAGGCTGACGGTGGCCGGCCAGGGGGCGTTCGAACCGGCCGCTGGCATTGACTACTTGGAAAACAACTGCGTAGACGAGCCAGTCAAGCTGTGCGAGTTCAAAAAGTTCCCAGGCCGCATACTCAAGACCGTCGATTCTGTATACCAGGACGTGGGTTCTCTGGAAGACTGTCGGGAGTTGTGCCTCAACTCGCCATACAGGTGTCACTCGTACGATTACGGCGATACCGGCGAGCTCGTGTGTCGACTTAGCCATCATTCCAGGGCCACGTTGGCAGACATACAGGTGACGATCGACAAAATATTATATGAATGATATAAAACACAATACCAACTCCATGTATTATACAGTCATTTCATTATATACTATTAAAGCATTATTTCGCGCTTCATAACGAGAATAATTAMCGTTGGCCACACGATTTTTATTATTTATTACCATATAGGTATAATAATACATAAAAATGCCCGAGTACGCGTGTTCCTGATTGTTGTGAAATACGTTTTTTAGACAGCAATCATAAAAACTACTACTGTCGAATCTATATTTAATAATATAATAATATAGGTACAGAACATAATGTAGTTGTACAGTGTCTTGATTCTCGAGCTCTAATAAACTAACCAATTCTGGCTGGCTATCGAATATATCATATTTCTCGAACGTTTGAGGTTCCATATATATACGAAAGAAGTAGGTAATACACAAGACGACGACTACGATGTCAGAAATATTTATTTCAGAAATATTATTCTTACATCCGTCTAAAAAATAGCTAGGCACTATATGAAAATGAAAAATAAGATTCGATTGTTGAGTGAACTTCAATAATGAGAAAACACATAAACATATAAATTTTTTTTTATTATTATTTGTGTGCGTATTACTGTGTGCCGTATCCTTTTCCAAACACGTTCAGTTGTTGTAACCCACATTTGAGTGGTGCCAAAAACGGAATCCTTCCACACACAAACACATCGTACACACAATAATACTAATAATAATTGTAATAATAACAAACTAACGCCACGGTACGTTATCCCCGGGATGTCGGTGTTGTGGGGGACTTCTATACATGTCGACCCAGTTTTCGGTTGATTAGAATCGGTATGCCGATGAAAATTATGACATGAACGTTTATTTTTGATATAGTTATTTTCCGAAAAGAATGCTAAAATAGTATCCTTTTCTAAAGGTGTCCGCCGTTAAGTACCTATCCGACGGATGATGAATCACAGTATTTTCATTTTTCAACGATTTCTCTATATTATATTAACCTTGAACGTTGTATATGGATTATGAGCAGTGGGAAAATAAGTACTTTCATTCAAAACAGATTTAGCACATAACATCAGAATTACAAAAAAGTCACAGATAACTGACTCTAATTTCGCGGTTTTTATTAGAACATTCTCATATTTTGATTAGGTATAATACGTCTAGATAGTTAATGGTTTCCAGAAAATATAGGACCTAGTTCACGCATGCGACATTATTATTTGTCATGACGTCAGATTACTCTAATTAGAATATTAAAAACATAGTAAAGTTTGTCTAAGTAAATATAATTATAAGTACTAACTATACCCGTAATTTTAAACGCGATTGCCATCACTTCGATATTTTTTTCTTACAGCACAAAATAGTAGGAGGTATGCCTACTATGTACTTTTTCATAAAAAATATTATTTAATTCGACTGTTTGAAGTTTTATAATAACAACCATAAGTTTAAAACTACTTTTTGAATCGTTTAAAATATTTGAAAAAACCCGTACACCCGCATACAGGTCAACGACATTTTACATGATATATTATGTACACGTCAATCTAAATCTACGGGCGTAAAGAATACTAATTTTTTCGTAATCTAATATAATAATCCAATTAAAAATATTTCAGGACCCCTACTTAGAAGTTCCAGAAGCTTCCACATATGAGCTCAATTCTTGTTACAATATAAGCATCGAGTGTCGTTCAGGAGATATGGTAGCTAGGATTAAGACCAGCAAATTATTCAATGGCAAGATCTATGCGAAAGGAAATCCAAACTCTTGTGTTCAAGATGTACGCGGAAGTTTGGACTTTGAACTCGAAATGGCTTACGACGACGTGGAGTGTAACGTAAAACAACAAGGCCTAGGCAGATACAACAACGACGTTATTATTCAACACCACGACACCATAATTACCAGTTCCGATCTTGGTGTGGCCATCACGTGCCAATACGACTTAACCAACAAAACTGTTTCGAATGAAGTAGACCTGGGTATACAGGGCGATTTGAAACCAGCCATGACAGAGGAAGTTATTGTGGACTCACCAAACGTTGCCATGAAGATTACAGACCGACAAGGTGCTGACGTTAAGCCTTCGGCCGAAGTAGGAGATCCGTTGGCGCTTCGATTCGAAATATTAGACCCGAACAGCCCATACGAGATATTCGTTAGAGAATTGGTAGCTATGGATGGCGTAGATTCCAGTGAAATCGTGCTGATTGACGCTGATGGATGTCCAACCGACCACTTCATCATGGGCCCTCTTTACAAATCATCAGACTCAGGAAGCGGGAAGGTAAGACTCTCAGCTCATATTCGTTAAATAATATTTGATATTTGAATATGTAATATACAATATACATTACATATAACTAATGTAGAGGATTCTACGAGGAGCATGTCAACTCGACCTTACAAAACAGTCAATTAATCGATTTCCTTTTTTTTTCAGATACTCTTATCATACTTCGATGCGTTCAAATTCCCGTCGTCCGAAGTGGTCCAATTCAGAGCCCTAGTCACTCCATGCATGCCAACCTGTGAACCAGTACAGTGTGATCAAGAAGACGCTTCGGGAGAACTCAGGTCAGTACACTCATTCGGAAAGAGGAGGCGGCGAAGGTCCACCAAGAGTACATCGGACGCCAGAGACGACATGCTGCTCGTGCAGAGCATTCAAATCACCGACAAATTCGGATTTGGCGCACAACAGGCATCGCCGGAAATGAATCCCACGGATACGACGGCTTTCAGCATAAAGAACCACGACTACAACATTGATAGTTTATGCGTTAATTTGTTCGGTGTTATAATATCGTGTCTAGTATTTCTGGCCGTTCAAGTTGCCGTGCTAATAGCGTGGGCGTACGTTTGGAACAAAAAGAGACACGTCGACAAGTACCATCAACAAGATGGACTGTCCGTGAGTATGAGCATACCGGTGGGACGGACAGACAGCATGTGCAAGCTGTACGATACGGGGTACGCAAAACGATACTAAGTGATCGATTTTTATCGATCCATAATGAGATAGATTGCCATGACAGATTTTTTTTAACCTAAATTAGCTATATACAAATTATGAATTTGTTAATCATATATTGATATATCTTTTAAAAGCGACATCACGCTCAAATAGCCCTAACGGTCAGAATAAAAAAAAAAAAAAATAGTAATTATAAGACCGTTAAATTATATATAAGCTAGGCAATTTGACTTTAAGCTTAAACGTTTTTATCTGATTATAATTATAATCAAAAAAAAATTTTAAGTTAATTTTCGATCACTTTTAAGAGATTTAGTAGATATTCATTTAAAAAGTCTTATAGGTACTTATTACTAGAAATGATTTAATACATAATAATATTTATATACATCACAACAATTTCCAAAACATTTTTTTTTTTTTAATTGAAGTTAGAAATATTTCAAATAATATTTTTTCTATACCTAACGAAAATTGAATTTTTATAAAAATTAGGTTTTATACTACCTACCTAATTTAATAAATTCAAATTATCTCAAATTAGGTGCCTACTAACAATAATTACAATTTTAAACAAATAATAATAAGTATAATTATTTGATATATTTCTAACAACATTTTTCATTCAACTTATCTAATTGAATGATGATAAAATAATATACTAMAGCCACTTATCGTTATAGTATTCGGAATACTGTAAGTTCGAAATTCTTAACGAATAATTATTTTTTGAAGATTTTACTTAATAATCAATAATACGGTTCAGCCAAGAAATTTATACTATTTTAGAATTAATTAACATATATGTATTTATTGGGCTGAAACGTAGACGATTTTTCCTACGATGAACATATGTATGTTTGAAATTATTCAAACAAAACTTATATAAAACTCAAAATTGTTGGAGTCTTGTCTACGTTTCTCAAAGCTAAATTATGACAACTTTCCCTATCTTGTGGCATAAAATGTATTCAATAGCTTATATTTATAATTCACCTTTCATATTTTTACCATATATGAATAAATTAACCAATAACCATAGTGATAATTAACCAACCAAGAAAAGGGAATATTAAGTCAGAGTTGAGTACTAATATTAAGTGCTACACATAAGTAGTACTTTTGAGATGTAACTACTCAAATATAAATTAAGGTTATATTTTACATTAAATATTATTAAAATTAAATATATTATACAATATAGTCTAATATAGTTTTTTTAATTCTTAAATATAATTATAATATTTATTGAGAATAATTTTAAGTAATATTTGTATGGTAATTAAAATAATGTAAAATTAAATTTTAAAAAATTGAACAAACATTATTATGCTGTTTTCTTCTATTTTTTTGTGGGCGCTTGTTAACCAAATAATGTATACTTAATTATATTTACTTACCCTAAGTCGTTGATCGTTTACTGTCCAAACACGCGACGCCAAATCATTAGATGCTGCCACTATTTGCCCACCTGTGCTGTCAAACTCAACAGACATAACACCTGCATTACTACCAATCAACATTCCTTTGCACTCAGCAACACCTATATACACAGTTCAAAGATATTGATTAGTTATAATTTATAACATTTAAAAATATTTACCTAAATATTAAATTATTTATTATACCTTTAGACACATCCCACAACTTCACTTTGCGGTCTTCTCCTCCAGTTGCTACCATTCGATCTACTGGACTCCATTTCACAGCACTTACAACACCATCGTGAGCGTCCTAAACAATAATTTAAGTACTTTTTAATTTTTTATCGATAGAAAACTAGGTACTTAAAAAAAAAAAAAAAATGTTTTTATAAACAATCACAATCGAAATAATACATAAAAAATCAAATAAACAAATGTACACACAAGTACAAACAATTACTTAAACTATTTTAGATAATTAAAACACGTATTCATTTTTCGTGTGTTTTTAATAATGTGGATTTGTGAATATTGATTCAAAAACCCTTAAAATCGAACATATTATATCATATGCAAATACATAAGTACTCAATAATAAAATACCATTCTATTCAAAATTCAAATAGTACAATATTATGCGATTTTAATTTTTGAAATAAATACTTACAAATCGAATGGAAGCTTTGCTTGGCATGGCACATGGAGATGCCATAATCGGACCAACACTATTGCTTACAGCAGTTGTTAAACATTCTGCAGTTACACCACGCATATCGTTTGCTGCTTCTTTAAGTTCATTTTGCATAATGGCATTTCGTTTTCTACAAAATGAAATAAAAAAATAATTACTTAAACTTTTGTGAGATAATAATGATTATTGACTATTAATTATAATATAGTAAATGGTACAATTTTAAATCCAAAAAATTACCAAAAATTAAAAGGTCAAAAAATATCATTAAAAAATTACACAATTTTAAATAACTAATCAAAAACATAGAAAATTAGATTATGAATTATGATATTTTTATTCAGGTAAGAATCTAATTAAATATAATTTGTTTAGGTACTAATAACAACTCACTTAATAGACAATGTAAGAATAAAAACAAAATAAATAATTTTAAAGTAATGAAAAATCAATAAATAAAAAACAAAAACGATTTTCTAGTGTTTATTATATATCTGTAAAGGGCTCTAAAATTGTTTTTCTACTATACAAATAAAATTAAGAACCGTAAAAGTAGCTCTGCTGTATATAAGTTTTGAAGTGTCCCTTATCATTGAGTAGGTCTCTTGAATAAAGGTGTTAAATTTGAGTACGAACATTACATTTTAAAAATGATTCTGAGCGTAGATGTATATTGTCAGCCTTTATTTTTATAATGCATACATATTAAGTTAGTAGATCAAATAATAGTACGATATCTATAACAAATTATTTTTTAGCAAAAACATAGTAAATATTATATGATTATAATATTAAATCGCACATATTCTGATATTCACATCCTTATATTATTATTAACATATAACTATATAAGTCGATAATTCATCATAATATACTATGATTTTGTTAATAGTATAAACAGATAAAAAGTAGTCTAAATATCAACTTACAAAATTTAACTGTGAATAACACATTTAAGGTTAACCAGCAATTAACATTTCACAAATTACAACGTTACTGTACGTTTGAATACCCAATTCTCTGTAGCCTACATAAATTTAGTAGGTAAATAAAATTGTGACTGAATTTTCAATATTATTTAATTGGAGTTATGATGTCATATTTTATTATTTATTTATTCATCTTTGTAATTTACTGTAATTTACTGTATATATTGTAATTAATTTACGACTAACAACTCCATGTTAAAAATTTATATTATATCAATAAGTTCGATGACCTTGTATGTCAGAAATACTTTTAAAAAAAAAATTGGAGTTATTACAGTAATAAACTAATAACTATGAATGTCGTTGTACGTATACAAACATTAAAATTTTTAAATCTCTTTTCTCTAGGCACAATAAAACCTGAAATTTTGACTCCACCCAACCCACATAAAAAAAAATAAAAAAAATAATTCAAATGAACTAAAATTTTATAATTTCTTTACACAAACCATCTTCAAAAAAATTTTTCTACTTAAAAAAATTAGGAACAGACAAAAAAAAAAACACACACATCGTTAGAAACCAATATCTACATTCATTCAATCTTATATTGTAACCTATTCAAAAAAGGTTTTTATAGATATCTATGTATATGGAATACATTATTACAAATCATCCAACCAAAATTATTAATTTCATTCATTATAACTAATATACAAATAATTGTGCTGAAATATAATAAATATATTTTAGTACAAATAATATAGGCAAGTATACGCATGATAGGTATTTTATTCTTTAAAAAATCTTAATCCAAAATGTTCAGCCTTAATTTTACGTTTAAGACCAACATATAAAAAAAGTTAAACATTTATTCAAAAACTATTTACATACCTTAATAAATAAATAAGTATGCCTTTCAAGTCTATTAAGTTTTTATTATATAAATMATAAAAATAATTAGAACCACACATTGCTTGGGATTAAAATGAACTTAAATTAAAGTTAAATAATTTCTAACTATACATTTATTTACTCAAATATAAAGCTGATAAGACTTAACATATTAATATAATGAAACTTTCGTATTACATATATTTAACAATTAGAAAAATATATAATATATTTATTAGCATTAATAGGTATCAAATAAATAATAAAAATAATAATTTGAAAGTTTTTCGATTGTATTATCTAATTGAATGAACTAAAGATTAGAAACATAATATATACTCTTATATTAATGCCTACTAAATTACTTACCTTAATAACTATCATTTACCAAGTTGTACAGTTAATTTGATGTTCTCAGTTAAAACAGATTCTTAACTCAATAGGTACAGATTTTTTAATTCTATGAAAATAATATATTCAAACATCAAATCTCAGAAAAAAAGCACGATTGATTTAGAAAGAACCTTGTGATTTATATAAATAACATTCTGTTATAATCTATTTAAAGACAATTAAACGATTTTTTTTATTAATTTTTGTAGCATATTGCATTGGAATAATTAAAAAAATTACTAGTGTGTATTAATAAATTATATATATATATATATATATATATGTATATGAATAAAGTTTTCATCGAATACCTATTTAATAACATGTTCTAATATTAAAAGAATGTGTCCTTCCTTAATTCAAGTTAATAAATTATAATTTAGTATTTCGGCATACTGCAGTCCGAATTCTAAAAATATGAAAGCATCGTTGTAATAGCAATAATAGTTTATTGTAGTAAGTCATACTATGGCATGCACGTTAACACAAATTTTATCATAGTACACACAAACATAATAATATATCTGCATCTAATTAGTTAATTTAGGTACCCGGCACAAACTTATAATGCACCACGTGCTAATTTTTACCTGACTAGATGGTCGTTTTCCTCGTTTAACTTCTCGGCGTCCTTAGATTTATAAGTCATTAACCTGACCACGAGTTCTCTGTTTTCATCCTGTAATGAAAATCGACGACGCGTTAGCTTAGCGAACATTTTGTGTTAGTGCAGCGCGTGTGTCAACTGACTGGCACGCCGGTGGGGGCATATTCTCATGCAATATTATAAATAGACCCGCCTCAAAGCGCCACAGTTTAGGTCTTTAATTGGCATTACAGCGTATTTTTTTATTTTTTTTATTTATTTAATTTTCATTTTTACAATCTGTAAAAGTATTTACAATAAGTAAAATCAATATGATGGAAATATTGTTCAGACTCACACCAATTAGGGGAAGCATTGAACTATTTATTATACAACAACTATACACCAAACTTACCTAACATAATGATAATAATATTTCTCATTTGAAATATCCGACCTAGGTAATATCTGAAGACCCAAATAATAATATATAATGTTGAAAACAAGACGTTATTATATATTATTTAGAAATAAAGATAATATTTTTTCAGCTATTGAACCAAATAAACTTTTTAGTCGTTATTTATGCGTGTCCGTGCTAATTAATATATATTAAAAATTAATAATATACAATATAATATATGTACAGTGAAAAAGGTAAAATTTGAATAATTAAAAAATTAAAATGAATTTATATTAAGTATTATATTGAATTTATATATATTAATACAGGGTGATTGATTTATCATAAAACACTCATTATTTCAAAAAGTATTGACTTTTTTCAAAATATTTTTACATGGTTTCAAGTTGTTAAAAAACCAAAGTTTTTATTAAAAAATTATATTTTTAAATATTTTTTATCATTATAATTTTTTAAGTTTTTTACTTTTTTGAATGACAACATTTTAATTGATTTTAATGTTTTAATTTGAGTTTTAATTTCATATATTCCAAAGCAGAATATTTTTCTAAGTATTTTGATACATAGAAATCGAATTTTGTGCTAGTAGTTTATGAGTTATAAGTATTTAAGGTTTAGACAAACGGAGTAGTAGACAAACATTTTACGGGGTAACCCCGTACCACTCCACTTTGCCAATCTAAACTTTAAATACTTATAACTCATAAACTACTAGCCCCAAATTCGATTTTTATACATCAAAATACTTAGAAAAATATTCTGCTTTGGAATATGAAATTAAAACTCTATGCTGTCATTCAAAAAAGTAAAAATATAATAATAATATAATATT